TAATACTTTAAATAATAAAATCGATAAACTTGAAAAAATAATTGTTGATTTCGTCAACAAAAGAGAAGATATATCGCCGGAGTTTATTAAGGTAATCTAATTACGAAACCTTTCGTTTGATAATAAATTATAAAAGATTATTTATAATTTATTTTATTATTAGAAATTAGTCAAAGAAATAGCAGATAAAACCTACAATATCGCTATATATCCCACGCAAAATCAATTTGAAGATATTTCGTTAGATGTCGCAAAAAAAAAATATCGAAGTACATTTAGTACATATCAACAAAAAAAATGGAATGCCTTTTACGAAGGTCATATTGCTTCAAAGGTAATTGCTTTTGCCTTGCTATTAAAATATAATTTAATGTAATTAAAATATTTAAATTTTTAGTTGCTATTTAAACATCGCCAAAATCGAGGAACTGACGCCGCTGCATTCCGAAAGGCATTGTTTAGTATTTTTGGAGAACGAGAACTTCCTCCCATCCGAACTTCGGACTCCCATGATATGATCACGGCATGGAAGGCATCCCCACAAACTCGAAAGGCTTATGACGCACTTTTTGAAAATATGCCCGGAACAGAAATCAAATATATTGAAAGAGTATTAGAAAAAACCTGTAATGCCAATACTCCAATTCATCAAAAAGCTTTTGCCATCGTTACATGCGAAAACCTTCTAAATCCCGATTTACCTGATATAATTGGTAAAGAAAGAATAATAAAACCATTATTGCCTATTTTTGAGGAACAATTAAAAAATAACAATCTTCATCGAGAAGATAATCTTTCAACTGAAGGTGAAGTTGAAGACGAAGAAGATTACCCTTTCACAATTGATGATGAATAAATTTATGAAATAATAATTATATTTTTATAATTTTTATAATTTTTTATATAAATATTTTATAAAAGTAATACAAATATATTTGAAATTATTAAAGTAATATTAAAAATGTATGCATAAATTTTTAATACACATTGACTTAGTTTTGGTAATAAAGAATAAAATTAAAAATTAATATAAAAAACAAGATAAAATTAATATAAAGAACAAAGATAAAATTTATATAGAGAACAAAGATAAAATTATTTATAAATATAATGATAGTCACAACTGTTCGAAGTAATTGTTAATTCATTAATCAAAATGACTTGGATTTGTAATTTCTGTCAACATACTTTTACAATTAAAACTTTGCACACCAATCACGTGAAATGATATCTTCAAAGTGTAGCAGAATCATCTGAAGAATTAAGTTTGGAAGTAATGATAATTGATAGTTTGAATAGTTTGAAAAGTGAAAGATTAAATAATGAGGTATAAAAAGATAAATAAATAATGAATAAAATAATTTCAAACATAACTTATACTAACTTCAATGTTATAGAATAATTTCAAAAGTATTCATGAAAGTAAATATAAAGGTGAATATGAAAGTGAAGGTGATTCATATAATGCTGAGGTTGAAAACGTATCTTTAACTAGCAATGCTAACTATTCCTGTGATCCCTTTTTTGAGAATATGAAATTATCTGAAGATGTCAAAAATTACTCATTTAATAATGATATTTGTGAAGCAGGATCTATTAAATTTTCTAATAAAGCATATGACAACTTAATGGTTCTCGTTACAACATATAATATATCCAATAAAGCTGATAATGTTGTGATTCATTTTTTTAATGAGAATTTCAATCTTCCTTTATCTCCTCTTCCAAAAAATATCAACCAAGGATGTGAATTAATGGAAAAAATGAAAATTTCCACTTTCACATTTGAAAAATACAAAATTCTTACTCATAACAATATAAATTATTACTTATTTTATTGTCCTATTCTCAATTGTATTAAAATATTTTATCTATTCATGACAGATCACAAAATTTTACATTGAACTTCGAAAATTTTAAGGTAGATTAAATTTATATAAACTATTTTAAATATTGAAAATAATATTAACTATAATATTTTATAATATAGTATAAAGGCGAAAAGGCTTACGGTGAACAATATAAAGAAAATTTGTGGAAAAACATTAAAACTTCTTAACCACCTAGTTCAAAACTTTTATCTATAATACTTTATTCTGATGTTACCACTACTACACCTTGGGTAAATCCTCTTTGCATTTTATCTATATTTTAATTGGAAACATTCCAATTAGCAGACATAATGAATCCGATACTAAACAATTACTTGAATACCTTCCTATTTTAACTGCAAAAGATCAATCTGAAAGATAATTCGAAGACTTCAAAAAATTAATATGACTAATTTTCCATAATTTTATCAAATTTTTATTAGATCTTTTATTTGTAAAAAATGATATTGATCGAGAAATTGGTGCTCAAACAATTTGGTTCTTTCCTCGTATATTAACAATTATATGTTATTAGCTGGAAGCTATCACATTTAGTCTAGTATACAAATCAACTAATTCGAACTTTCCTTGCTATTTTTGTTTAACTTCAAAGACATTGTTAGCAAATATTAATTTACCTGATAACTGTATAACTTTTTGTAATAATGAAAATATGTAAGAATTCTTTATAATAATACTGAACAGGAAGTGAGTTTGAAAAATATCTCTAATTATTTTTAGTCTTTATCAAGTATAAATATATATACAGCAGCAGTTTCGAATAGAATACACCATTTGGACTTGGGACTATTTCACTATTAAATAGAATTTACTTAAGTACTTCTTCACAAATAAGATAGTTCATTAGTCAATGAAATAGATTGTAGACTTTCAGAAATTTCATGATTCCAGGAGTTAAAAATATTCACTAATGGACTTCAATTAATCTCTATAATAACTGCAAAGGAATATCGAATTTTAATAAAAGTAATGATATTTGTAGTAGACAACTTATATAAAGAAAATAAAAATAACATTGAAGATTTTGTTGAAAATAAAAAATTATCAGAAATATATGTAAAATGGAACCAAATGTACATGATGAGCAGATCAGAAGTATTACAGAAAGTGATCTCAAAAATTTTCAGGTGTATTGTTAAAAAATTAAGATCTTAATTTTACAAATTATATGTTAAATAATTTTATTTTTCAGAAGGATACCTTCAAATGGGCAAAATTATTTGTTGAAATATTTAAACCATATTCACATTCCAATTTAAAATTCTTAAAATTTCATTTATGGATTTATCATATCTTTGAATCAATTTGTTAGTTCAGCACAATAAATAGTTTCACGATTGAAACCTATAAAGGATTTTGTTAAAATTCCTTATCGAATGAGCAATAAAAAGAATATGAAAGATTAAATAATGAGAACAGTAAGTTACCTATTTTATTAATCTTAAATAATATAAATAAACTTAATTAATTCATAACTTTTCGATCTTAAACTGAAACGGCAAGATATGATAAGAATGATTGAAAAAAAACAAAAAATAAAAATGAAATCAATGAAAATATTAAATTTTTCAAAGAAACTTTTTGAAACGAAACTAACAGAAGCAGATACATATTTTTGTGAAAAAGCAAATGATTCAAATATTAATGACAATATGATTAAAGGCTTTGAGAGATTTTTGAAATGTTTCAATTTTTTTTTGAAAGATATTTTAAAAGTTGATGATATTGAAGAGTGAAATATTATTATATATGGTAAAGTGACTTTAGAAAATGAACAATAATAATGGTAATTAATAAATATTATAATAAACTATGGTTCAGTAATGTAATAATTTCAATGGATTCCGATGAATCTTCTAATTATCAATTTGATAAAGGATTATGTTATAGTAAAATTTTATTAACCATCAGGAAATTTTTAAAGGCGAAATATTTCAAAAATTTTTGCCTCGTTAAATTTTCGGAGTTATACGACACCTTTGTAAATTTTCGAAAAAATTTTCGAAAATTTTCGAACCGTAAATCTCCGGAATTTTTTGTTTCATTTATTTTCGAAAATTTTTGCATATATTTTCGTAAATCTCCGTTTATTTTCGAAAATTTTTGCATATATTTTCGTAAATCTCTGTTTATTTTCGTAGATATTCGCGAAATTATTATAACGGTATATTCGAGATTTACATACAAAACATTTTGATATTTTACAGATTTTTCCGAAACTAAATAGTTATTTGCGAAAATAAAATGCATATTGTAACGATATTATTATTGAACGTTAATTGTTTATTAATTTTATTGATTTAATAAATTTT